AATTACCGTTATGCCCCTAGGTTGAGATTTCCGAGAAACATGCTATGTTATGTATTAGGTTAAGCTAGAAAGAGAATATGCATGACTAAAATATAAGTTGAGCAATATGGATGTGTACTTTATGCATGATGTAAGAAATTACCGAAATGCCTCTATGATGAGATTTGTTATGAATGATGTTTTATATGCTTTTCGCTGTGTTAAAAAAGAGGATGTGTTATCATGATCTAAGCTCGAGGTAATTGATGGATATTATCTTCCCATTGAGCTTATTTGCTTGTATGTGTGCATGATACAGTATGTGTTATCTCTAAGTGTTTGACTATATGTTCTTCCTCTAGAGCGTGTTTATTTGCACAGTGTTAGGGTGTGAGAATTAGGTTGGCTAGACAATGACCTAGGTCAGGACGTCTCCAATAGACTAAGTACCTTAGGATCGTGAGTGACGATCAGAGGGTCTAGACACTATGCCCTAAGATTAAGAAAGACTTGAGAAGTTAGAACAAAGTAGTATGGAGTTGGAAGTCTGCGTTAAGCCACCTAATCGCCCTAGAAATCCAATAGACATCCTCAAACCCTAGATATTACTAAGGTAAAGTTTAAATTATTGATTACAGATTGATGAGAATATCCTCCCTAATAAAGAATGCAAGAGAGAACTTAATTGACATTAGGGTGCGATCAGTATATTTTCTATAGACCTTGCACCCCGGGATCATGAGTAATAAGAGGTTTAGAACTATATGCACCCAGAGATTTGTTTGGCCCAAGGAACTAACCTTGAAAGTCTTGAAAATGAGATGTGAGATTTAAACCATCTCGACATCCGCAAGAACCTAGTAGACCTTCATGATATCCAAGAATGACATCTTTAAATAGCAGTCAACATAGTGTCTAAGGACCCCCCACTTCCCTTTCCACTCTAATACAGTACTGTCGAGCTAGGGCTGAGGTTTGTTAAGGATGTGTTATTCGGTAGTTTGATGAATTATCTTGCACGATAGATTCGTCCTGTGGTAGGGAATTGATCATGTGGGTAGTCAGTGGATTACCAATCACAGTGGATCCATCATGTGGTATGACATTGATCATGCAGGTAGTCAGTATATTACCCAGCACTGTGGATCCATCTTGTGCTAGGGCGTTTGATCATGCGGGTAATCAGTGGTTACCTTGCACAGAGAATCCGTCCCATGGGAGGGCGTCAATCATGTGGTTACCTAGTGGAGCTGACATGTATCGGGGGGTAGTGCCCCCCAACCTTGGGCGACTTCATGGCCTGTGGGATGGGTGCGCCAACTAACCTCCCATGGATGACGAGAAGGCTAGCACTCACCATATTGTCTCCATCTAATATGAAGTCTATGGAGGTAATATCTCATCTTTAGATACCGATAATCGTTGCGTAAGCTAGGCTAGCTACTCAAGACTGTGCATAGCAAGAGCAATACACATAGAGCCTAGAGTGAAGCATATGGTCACTTGCTAAGTCATGGATGCGATGAGAGCCTACAAGTAGGTTTCTTACTAAGTATTTTTTATACGCACCCCTTTCGTCTATTTTTTTTCCAGGTGTTCGCAACCTACTGGTTGAGGTGGAGGAGTGTTTGAGAGCTGTGCTGTCATATAGGGGTCATTTCTGAGCGTCAATTCATTTTTACATTTTGGGGACTTTTGTATTTTTTTTAATAATTGTATTCCAAACTTGTTTCCCCATTTGTAATATTTTGAACAACATCGTCTTATAATTGGATTTAATTTTGGTGTTGTTGACTTCTTTTTCATTTTATTTTTTAAGTCTTACCGAATTTTTATCTTTTATTTTATTATACTTTTTTTTCTCGCTTTCGTTTTTTTAGTCTTGATTAGATTTTCAAAACCTCGAAAGGTCCTGACATGCCCTTTCTTACTTAAAAATTCCTTTATAAATTTCATTTGGATCTTATACAATTTTGATAAAGTCCTATCCATTTTGTCACATAATAACCCTCTGATGTTGAAGTAGTATTTTAGCTAGTCTTGGACCCACTCTAGGTTTAGAGGAGGTGGTTCACCCTCTTTTCTTGTTGCATGTCTTCTGTGTAACAATCCAAAATTTTCTACTCAATTTAAGATCGCTATTGTACATACATCATAAACATGAATGCGAAAATACTTAATTTAAACTTTCATAAAACATAACTTGCAGCTTAAAACACAACCATGAACTTACGTGTTTTGAAACACTTTTAAAATGACACAACCAAAGACTAAATAAAATAAGTAAACATTTAAATTAAAAACATCATATTATGCATGTGTCATGGTCTCGAGTTGCGATGCCGTCGTCAGCCGTACAGGTCTGTCTTACCTTAACCTGAAATAAAGGTAGCACGTGGCTTGAGTATTTTTAAAAATACTTAGTAAGTGACCCCACTATTGGGGGTTAAATGCAAGAACATGCAAAATGCTATGGCGGGACCTATCAGTCTATTTTTTTTTCCTACGACACTATTCTAATTGGGTAGCTTGGATGTGTACCATATACTGCACACACAACCCATACATGCGAGTATGGGCTCACTTGTCAGTTCGCACACTACTGGGCCCCTTTTCTTATCAGGCGAGCCTTCTCTGGTAGCTCAACTTTTGCAGGACACCCATTAGAATTAGTAACCGTCACGACAACATTAAATAAAACATAACGATACTTCACCTGCCTAATGGATGTACGCATCCATACCCTCGTGATGGAATAGGGGTATCCTCTAATGTATGAGCATACCGGGATTAGTGCCGATGAATGCGCTGTCTTCCTACTTAGGGCATCTGCAACCACGTTGGCCTTCTTCGGGTGGTACTGGATATCTATGTCATAATCTTTGACTAGTTCTAGCCACTGTTATTGTCTCATATTCAACTCCTTCTGGGTGAAGAAGTACTTCAGGCTCTTATGGTCGGTATAGATCTGACTCCTCTCCCCATACAGGTAGTGTCGCCATATCTTTAACGCAAAGACTACTGCTGCTAGTTCCAAGTCATGCACGGGATAGTTCTTTTCATAGTCCTTCAGCTGTCTGGATGCGTAGGCAATAACTTTTTCGCATTGCATTAACACGCATCCCAGGCCCTTCTTGGAAGCATCACTGAAAATGACGTAGTTCCTTGTACCATCAGGCATTGTGAGCACGGGTGCGGTCGCCAGTCTCTCCTTCAAGTCTCGGAAGCTTACCTCGCACTCCTCGATCCATACAAATGTCGTAGCCTTTCGAGTCAGTCGTGAGAGGGGTGCCGCTATCTTGGAAAAGTCCTGTACGCAGCGTCGGTAGTAGCCTGCTAGACCCAGAAAACTTCGTACCTCAGTCACAGTAGTTGGACGAGCCTAGCTGGTGACTGCTTCCACCTTGTCAGGGTCAACTTATACTCCTTCCGCCGATATCACATGCCTTAGGAACGAGACGTCGCATAACCAAAACTCACACTTCGAGAATTTGGCATACAATCTATTTTTCCTCAGGTGCATTTGGTGTTCCTTATCCGTCCTTGAGTACACCAGGATGTCATCTATGAATACAATGAAAAAGGTGTCCAGATATTTCTTGAACACCCGGTTCATCAGTTCCATGAACACTGCAGGGGCATTAGTGAGTCCAAATGACATTACCACAAACTCATAATGGTCGTACCTCGTTCTGAAAGCTATTTTCGGTACGTCCTCATTTTTTACCTTGATATGGTGGTAACCTGAACGAAGGTCAAGTTTTGAAAACACTGTGGCCTCTCTGAGCTGGTCAAACAAGTCCTCGATGCGTGGGAGGGGGTACCTATTCTTCACCATCCTCTTATTCAGTTCCTTGTAATCGATACACAAGCGCATGGAACTGTCCTTTTTCTTGACGAATAACACCGGTGCACCCCAAGGTGACACGCTAAGTCTAATAAACCCCTTGTCTAGCAGTTCTTGTAGTTGTATCTTGAGTTCTTTCAGCTCTGCTGGTGCCATGCGGTACGGGGCCTTGGATATGGGGCCGGTTCCTGGTTCCAGTTCTATAGCAAATTCGACATCTCGGGATGGGGGATCCCTGGTAAGTCCTCTGGGAACACATCTGGGAACTCATTCACTACAGGCAATGCTGTTAAGGAGATTCCTTCTTCCTTGATCCTTGCCAAGCTGGCTAGTATCGCCTAGGCCCCGTGCTAGACCTGCATCTTCACCTTCATCATTGATATCACCTTGGGCATTGTGCCTAGACTAGTGCCCTTGAATCTGAGCCTGGTCCTAAACGGTAGCGTGAAAATTACCTTCTTCTTGTGACAATCTATGCTAGCATGGTTTTCCGCCAACTAGTCCATGCCTAGGATTAAATCATACACGGTCATATCGACCACCATTAAGTTTATGCCCAAGCTAACCCCTGATACTACTACGTGACCATTCCTTACCCTATATGCAGCAACCATATCCACCCCTGTCGGGGTGCCTACTAAAAAATCGTATAACAAGGGTTCTAATACGATCCTTGCTTGACTAACAAAATTAGTGGAAATAAAAGAATGTGTAGACCCCGAGTCAAACAACGTCAAAGTAAAATGACCAAGGACGAATAGTGTACCTATCACCGCTGCATTCGGGTTTTCAACGTCCCTACTAGTGGAGGCATAGGCTCTCGCTGGAGAACGGTTCTGAGTGGGGGCATCTGCTATGCGTAGTGGTCTCTGCTGATCCCCGACGTTATTGGCGCGGCCTCCCGGGCAGTCCCTGGCCAAGTGACCCTCCATCTCGCATCATAAGCAGGCTTTAGAGCGAGCCAGCACCGACCCCAATGATTCTTCTCACACTCATTGCACTTGGGTCTATCGTCTGCCCTGCCCTCTCTCCCTTGCTGCCCCGCCTGGAATCGCGGCGCCGTCTGTCTGGTCGTCTCCGTGGCAGCGACGGGGATGAATCGCAGCAGTCACAATCACGACATCGTCTCTGTCTTTCGGTCGATGAACAGGATTCGTGGTGATGATCTCGGTCACTACGTCGTTTTCATCTCTAGGTCGATGAGCGGGATTCGCTCGATCCATCGGTCCCCTCCATGGCCCGTGCTACTCTCAGCATAAGTCGTAGGTGCTATTGCCTCAACCACATTACGGATCTTTCGGTCCAACCCCAGCACAAACTGGCGGGCTGTCCTATAGTTGGTGTCTACCAAATCCGGGGCAAAGCATTTCAACTTGGTGAACTCTCTGGCATAGGCAGTAACCGAATGCCCTTTCTGCTTCAGGTGAGTGAGTTCCTGATGTTTGCGGATTTGGACGTCGTCTGGGTAGTACACCTCTGCAAAGGCCTCCTTAAATTCTGTCCATGAGATTTCACCCCCGGGTCTGATAAGCTCTCGGGTGGATCACCACCATACTTAAGCATCGGCACACAGCATGAATGCTGCGCATTCCACCTTTTGGTCTTTGAGACAGTTTGTCAGCCTGAATACGGTCTCTATGGAACTCAGCCACGACTGTGTCTCTGTCGGGCCATCGGAAGTTTCCTTGAAGGTTTGTGGGTCACCCCTTTTAAAATCCCGCAGACATCTGGCTTCCCTAGTGGAGGCTGAGTTGTTAGCTGACTGGTCATCAGATAGGTTTCGTACTACGATCCGCAATACGTCTGTCAATTCTGCCGCCGAGTCTCGGGCAGGTTGGGGTGTCACTGGTGGCGGGAACGTCATCGCTACGTCGGGCCCTTCCACAGAGTTCTTGCAGTCGGGACCTCGTCCCCTTCCGCTCCTACCCCTAAGTGGGGGTCGCCCCCTAGTATTCCCTCCTCGCGTCTTGGGTGGCATATCTAAACCTAACAATAGCTATGGGATTACATACTAATCTATCCACTTCTATAAATAATCACAAGGGCATAAGTCGCATACACATACAATGGCATTAGCCGCATACACACACAAGCATATATCTGTCACATTATGGAACATACTAACATCGGGACAAGAGAGCTTACAAATCATAATTCTTCCTTACAATATATACATATACCTGACGGTGACGGTGTGGTTGCTGGAGGACTATGAAAATGCCTTAGGCCTACATCGTATACTAGTTTACAAGATCTGTGACCTAAGGCTCTGATACCAACTGTAACGCCCCTAATTTTCTCTAATCTAACTAGCGACGCTACCTTGTACTCGCATGATAAAAGTATGAAAATTTATGTAAGACAACCTCAATAGCAACGACATGTTCATTATTATAAGTAGTTCATACCTGGGGAAAACAATAACGACAACCTAACTAAGAAATAATCGACAGATAACTAGGAGAAATAATTGCAATTAACTATCATTCGAGAGAGTCCAAACAAGACGCCTACGACACTATAAGCCCTCCCTAAGACTTCCATGACCTTCGCAATGTTCATCGTCAACCGTACATGGGGGCCTTGCCCTTACCTGAAAATATAGGTAGCACGTAGCTTGAGTATTATATAAAATACCCAGTAAGTCGTCCCACTGTTGGGGTTAAGCATATAACATACATTCAGGACACATGCAGTTCGCATACAACACACATACATAAGCACAAGTACCAAAAGAAAGAAACCGTGAGGGGGACCTGTCTTCCATTCCTTCCAATGGCCTTAGGCCCTTGCTTTGTTCGAGCAGGGTGGATGCGTGGTACTTCCCCACCATGGCCCACGTACATAACTATGGGCCCACCAGGCGAGTTCACATGCGAACTCCCTAGGCCTGGCTTGGTCGGGTACGTATGACATACAATACCGAACGCCACGAAAAAGGAGGGCCTACATGATATCATAGTGAGCATAATATCGAACGTACGCGTCCGTACTGCCACAACATACCGGGAAAATAACCCCATGTACATAACACATAGAGTGCATGAGGTCCTTAAGGTTTACCTCCATGGCATTATACATACAACGTTCCATCCCCTCACCGCATTACATAGCATAATTGGGTTAAACATCGAGTAAGCATATCGTAGCATACTAGTCATCACGTTCATGGCATGCGAAGTTCTCATTACAATCGTGGCATGTCAATCAAGCGCATGCATACTGGGTAGCAACTCATGGCACAAACATCACATACATAAACATGGTATACATCAGCGTTTCACGGCAAGAAACATATAACCTAGCATACATCAACAACACACATGGTGCATGCAAGAGCCACAGGGCACGCACCATCATACGTACATAACTAACACCAATAGTAAGGTTACTTACCTCCTTGATCTTGGCTGAAGCCACTCGCAACGCTAACTCCGGCGCCTAACTACTTCCTATAAGATCATATGATACACTTAGAGCCATTTCACAACTAGCCCTTATACCTAACTACCAAGGTATGTCCCTATCACAACCTGTTTTTATCAAAATGGAGTTATACTGACCTCAGATGGTTGAAACAAGGGTGGGAACGGCTCTAGAAGGGTCGAAAACCTAGGAATTAGTATATTATTCGTATGTCGAGTCGCTAAACCGAGCCGTCGAGCCTGGAGTGCAACGGAGCCGTCGATGAAGCCGTAGCTGATGGGCTACAAAGATCACTGACGGCGCAGGGTTTCTGGATGCGCGTTTAGATGCGTCGCTAGTTTTGGGCAAAAATGTAATGCGGCCTAGTGGTGGTGTCTGAGCGCGGCCTATAAGGTGCAGCCTATACGCTAGCCGAGACGAACTCGCGAATACCCGAAGAATCGACCCGTGCCCGCCTCTTTGTCTTCCTCGCGCGAGAGCCTCGATGTAACGCCCCAGATTCACCGCTAGCAGATATTGTCCTCTTTGGGCTTTCCCTTTCGGGCTTCCCCTCAAGGCTCTTTAAAACGCGTCTGCTAGGGGAAGGTTTCTACACCCTTATAAATGGTGGTTTGTTCTCCTCCCCAACCAATGTGGGACATCACACTCGACAAACCCTAATTGCAGGACCTGGCTACTATCGCCGGTGGAATCGTCGTCGTCCGTTCGTCCCTGATGGTGCGTTTGTCCTTCCTTGCCCTGACGTACCCTAGCGTTGGTCCGCTTCCACCTAAGGCTTGCAAACGTCCAAGTTCTCGCGGCGTTATCAATCTCCCACCTCAATCTTACTACCTCTCGCTCACGATACAACAACGGCTCACAGGAAGGCGGCCACTTAGACCCTAGGGTTTAATGTAGGGGTCCGAGGAAAATCCCGCTGAAAATTGCGAGATTTTCGACGTGTCTTTTTTTATTTTTTATTTTTATTTTTTTTGAATGCTCGTTACACATATCATCCTGTATACACACAATTTAAGAGACATAACATAACGTTCGATGCTTTTAACATAACATTTCATCATATACATATCATACCATAACATATTGCATCACAACGTATCATATCATAAACATGTCAATTTATCACATATCTCATACCATAACATATTTCATATCATATGACAACATATATATGTCCGTCATTCACATGTCGTAACATAATCATATCATGTCGTAAACACTTCGTGGTCATATCGTTCCCTAACTTATAATAGCCTTAACGTTCTTATACCTATCACAGTCATATCATTACATGAACGTACCTTAGTCATATTATCACAGGAACATATCTTAACGCTATCGTTCTATCAATCTATCACAAACCTATCCCTTTCTACCCATAACCTAACCGTATTCTTTTATCATTCTCTCATATCCATAGCACTTCAATATGTAACCTAACTTTAGCGTTTCATGAAGGTATCTTACTCCTATCGCTACATATCGTTTTGTGCAGTCTTCTCATATCCTATCTCAAACATATCATTGAACACATCGTACCACAATTATTATCATACAATTCACATATCATAACATATACATAACATATCATAAGCATATCGATTCATAAATAATTCACACATATCAGTATATATGACACATGTAGAACTATGGACACGTGTCAACATCAAATATAACTATGCGAAGAGTAAGGCCACTTACCTGATTAGCTTAGGCTGATGTCCCGACGTTATTCTTAATGAAAGTCCCAAATCAACTTATGTGAGCCAATGACATTAGTTTCAAGTTTGAACTTCTACAAAATTGATTCTCTAATTTATATTGGTCCACGGGTAATACTTCATGCAAACATTAGAGTCTTTGCATGAGTTAAGTCTTGAAATATTTATATATATTTGTTATAGTATTATTTTTATACAAACCATTTAATACCCATTAACATTTTCAAGATATTCTATTTTCTTTTGCTATGTTTAATACCATTTTTTAGATAATTTAAATTATATTCGCAATCTTCCCTCTCTATCTCTGTGTTTCCCCCTTCTTTTTAATCCCTGGTTCAAAACTAATTGATTTTAACCAAATTAATATCATTAAATAAAATAAAAGGAAAATTGCTAACCTTTTCAAATGCAATATGTCTTTATAGCCGGACTATATTTTTTTTCTATCTAGACTAAATATGAACCTTTTTGTTTGTCTGTTTGTATTTGTTTTTGTAGGAAAGAAGGAATTGGGTTAAATCTACTTAACCCTTTCTTTCTATTTTTGTTTGTTACATTTTCAATTAAGTTAGTAATTATTTTTAGTCAATTTAATGGATTCTATTTTTTTTTTTTGCTATTGATCTGTCTATAAATGGCTAAATAAAACTAAATAATTGTATCAAAGGAAGAAGGAGATCTGAGATATAACAAATCACAAATCTCTAAATCTTCCCCATCTCCTGTAAATCGGAGGCATTTCTTTTTTTCTCAGATTAGACATTTATTCATTTGTGTTACTGGCATTTCTGTTTTTTTGCACTTGTGTTCGATTTTGTAGAAATTGTGAGGTGAGTTGAGGAGAGATTATTAGGAAAGGGATGAAAGTTAGTGGTGAGAAATAGGGAATCATTGTTTTTATTTATTTATTTAGTATTATTATTATTATTATTTTACATAATAATACTTTTTTTTATAATAATTTTTATTTGTTTATTTATTTTTTTGGGCTATTACATTCTCCGCATCAAATCTCATCTCTGAGATTAACTACTTTTATATTCGTAGACTTAGGTAGTTTTCTTTGCCTAAGTAGTGTGTAACCGGTGTCATGGGTCGAGGAGCTATCTTGTAAAACTTTCTCTCTTGTGGGGATAGTATGGTGTGTGCTAACATGCTCGTCATCTATGGGAGGTTAGCTTGCAAACCCTTCCCATAGGACCATATAGTCACCCAAGATTCGGGGAGCAACCAATGTGTGCTTGCCAGGTATGGAGTCAACCGATGTGGCAACATGCCCCCCCTCTCAAGGAGGGTCTATTGTCGTGACTCTTCCAAGGTTGAGTTACTAGTTGCCTTGACGCACTACCCTAACTGGTTTATGCCTAGCTCCATAGTATTAGTACTAGAGTGGAAAGGGTAGCGGAGGCCCCTAATGGCACAGTTAAACTGATGACACCATATATATTGCTAACGGGCTTGTAGGCTACCTTTGTCTTTCTTGGATGTCGTAGAGGTCTCCTAGTTTTTAGGGGCGTCTAGACAGTTTAAAACTTATCTCTAACTCTTCAAGGTAATCCACTCTCTGGGTGCACATAGGTCTATGTCTTTGATAGCCGCTCACAATTCTGGGGTGTAACGTCTACTGGAAATGTACTAACCTAGGTCAACATTGTAAACCGATCTAACTATAGCGCCCTAATCTTAACTTGGTTCTCTAGTGCATGCTTTTTAG